CTAACCAACAGCTACAACGTACTAGGTAGGTAGGTAAGTAGGACATTATTGAACCCACAATGGGGAAATTCCTGTGTTCCAGCAGCAATAAAAAGCAGCAACAAAACACCATAAGAACAGACACCACACACATATCTTGATAAACTAATTCCAAAGTACATAGTTAATGTTAGTTTTGAAAGATATTACTCAGTTCTTTCAACCAGGAACTCAGAGAGACGACGCAGACCACTTGGATATATAAAAAATATAACCGTGCTGGTTTATTCAAAGGATCACAGGCAAAATTAACATCACACGTCCAGGCATCTTCCACCTCCAGTACTGCGGAAGATGGAAGACCCCGAACCTAATAGCCTATACAATTTAATCACTTGGTTGGGCTAGCCCCATCCTACACAGGCAACGTCAAACCGTGACGTCACCTGATATGCCAGCTTGGCAGCTGACCAGAGCAGTAGTCAAAACATGGAGAAAATTAAAGTGTGTGGCTGTTGATTAGTGGTGTGTATCTAAAAACATACAGGACATTCAGGGACATGTCCGAACAGTAAGCCTCGGAAGATATTATGATTAAGATTACGGCTGAACATATCATGCTACTAACAATATTCATCCTGCCTGCAGACTCTTCAATCTAGTGACCTTGGCCTAGATGCAGCCTGCAGAACTCATGACAATGAACTGAGCATTTAACAGCCTGAGCAAGACATCCTGGCTACACTAACATTTTCTAATACAACAGATCTCTAATCATTATCTATCTAACTAAGAAATTACCTAACAGTTTACTGTAATGTTTGCTTTGGTAAGAGGGACACATCACCCCTTATGAGTGGGATGTTTTACCAGTAAAGTGGGATAACTATATGAGTGGGACATTTGACTTTTACAAAGGGAATATTATCATTTTGTACAATTAATGATAGCTGTAGGTCTACATAACAGAATAAGCACTAGATACATATTGCAATTATAGTGCTATGATTGCTTACGTGCTTTCACACTGAACTTGTTTAGTTCTATTAAAATGAATGCTGGAACTTTCTCCCCAGTTAGTGCAGTTCATTTGGGCTAGTGTGAAAGCTGTCAGTTGGACCCTGGTGCTGTTCAAATAACTGGACCAAATCTTCTTTCCATATTTTCTCTGATTGATAGGTCAATCACTGTTAAAACTGCTGTTCTTGTGTCCTACTCCATGTACAGTTAATTCATAATAAACCCATTAAATAGTGCGTGACAGCAATCCCACAGTAAAACATCTTACTGTCCAAGACTGTCTCTATACTTGTTAGTCATTACTGTATTCATAAGACAGCAACAGCAAGACTATGAGACGACACCAAAGATCTACTTGAATTACAGGATGTCATTTCTTTTTAAGAATTTGCAGCTGTCTGCATAAATATAATCAGAGTTCCACATGTAGCCTCTGCCTGATTTTGTGAGTACCAAACACAAGTTTACACAGATGAAGCTTGTAATGAAAAATTTTGTTTTGCTCATAAATGCCTTAAACGTGTGGTGAACTCTGTCCACAAAGAATATTTGAACTGTCTGCTCAGCACAACGATTGCAAAACGATTGCACAACGATAGTACAACCTGTCCTTGAAAAAGTATGCACTCCCTGATTCTGAATACCATCTCAAAACAGACATTTTTCAATGTGGGTGTACTGTATGTGTATGTGTGTAATCCTCCCTGAAACTTGCATGTGAGACCCATGTATACAGTATATATACATATATATATAAAACACTACCAAACCTGAAGACCTGGACATAGTATTGTGTGAGCATCCAGTCACGTGATGACTTCTATAACCAGAGCAGCAGCTTTACCTCACCCCACTGTATGCAGACTGAAAGTAACACTCCATGGTGGCAGATCTTTCTGTATTTCAAAGTACATGGAAGGACAAACCTCTGCACGGTATGTCCCCGTGGTAATAGGAACATTGGGGGCTGTGACCCCCAAACTGGAAGAGTGGTTCCAACAGATCCCAGGAACAACATCTGAGATCTCTGTCCAGAAGAGTGCAGTCCTAGGAACAGCTAAGATACTGTGCAGGACCCTCAAGCTCCCAGGCCTCTGGTATAGAAGACCCGAGCTTGAAGGAAGGAATACAAGACCACCCCAAAGTGGGGGCGAGTGGGAAATTTTTTTTTGACTGAGTTCTTTTTCGTTTTTGAGCCTCTGTAGCAGACCACTCTGAATGCTGTTGTAGACTGCTCCTTTCTGCAAAAATAAATAACACAAAAGACAGATTTGTCCTAAATCTTTTTATTTCACACTCACTAAAGGTCGTTCATTTTAGCACATAAGGGAAGGATTTTTTTTTTTTCCACAACACGCGACATCAACCTTACAGCCAGTTCTGGATCCAGATGCATCAAGAGGAACCATGCTGTGATGTGACTCTGCAGATCCATTATATTGTGGCGCTCCACTGGTTTGGATGAGCGGAGCTGGCCTGACCCTATCCTAAACTGTGACATCTAACTATCCAGCTGTGTGCTGGCACCTAGGCTGACATTGAGGAGAACACCTTCTCTGTCTTTTCTTGGCTTTTATTGAACAGAATAAGAATGCAAAATGAAACTGCGATATACCTGGCACCGTATGCTCACAGGAAAAAGAAGATAGCAGAAAAAGAAAGCAGTAGCAACACTCCCTCAGGGCATTCCATGTTCCACACCAACTGCGATCACACTGACACACCCACCTGTTACCCCTCTTATACTCTCCC